TAAATAATATTTTATTTTTTAAAAACAGACATTATACAATCTTTAATTTTTTAATCTCGAATAATCTATGATTTTAACATTTTTTTGTTATATGCTATATATTATAGAAGTTTAATTAAAAAGTCTATAACTAAAAATTATTTTTTAATTAATAATATTTTTCAGGCAATTTATAAAAATGAATAAACTTAAATCTTATACTTTCTATATATATATATATATATAAAGTACTGTATAATAGATAATAAAAAAATATAATTTTTGATAAATAATTAGATAATAATTGTAATTACGGTTTACATTTAGTCGTTTTAGAAACCAGTTTAAATAATAACATTTGTTATAAAAATATTCTGTATTAGAAATCAATTCAATTGGAAAATATATAATAAAAGAGAATTTTTGTGACAATCATATAAACGCCTAAATAGTGAAACAAATGTGATATGTGTTGAAACATTAACTCACTGTTACCGATAGGCACTTGTATTAAATATGTAATCATTTATCACTATATCTTTTGTTAGACAGTATTAGGCCTATAAGGCAATCAATAATCGGCAAACATTTATATGGATTAAAAAAATATTTTTAGTTTTTTATGTCAATTCTTCACTACTTCTCATCCAATTCTTCCCTTTACTTATGACTTATTTTCTTAAGTCATATTTAATGCCTTATTATGATTTTAGTTGAAATTGTTAGAAATTTGAGTTGAGGTTAACTAATTGTAAACCAATAGCCAATAATTTAATACAAAATTTGTTTGATTATTGTATAAAATACTAATTATATTTTTTATGTATAATACTTCTTGAATTTTTACTATTACTCAAAAAATAAATAATATTGTAATACAATTTGAGAAGTGTTATTAAGTCACATGAAATACATTAGAAATAAATATATTTAATAATTGTTATTTTTAAATATTTGAAATTTTATATAAAACACGTTTTTATATAAATATCATTAAACGATTCACTAATATCTTAAAATGTTTATTTCTTTATATAAAATATTTTAAACCATAAATCAAAAATATATTAATGTTTAATCAGAACATTATTTCTAAATACTAATGCATTTTTATTTAAATTTATTGATACCAGACATACAATAAATATAAAAAATTATTTGAATCCATCCCATGAACACTATTTAGTATTAAATTATAATAAAGTATTGACTCTTTATTCAGTATAAACTATCAATTTTTCAAAAAACGTCGGATCTTATTATAAATAAAAAAGTTTGATATAAAAATAGATTTTAAATTTTTATTATTTTTTTAAAAAATATTTCTTATAGAAAATATATAAATAATTGGTTTCTAAATATAATAATTAGCAAAAAGGAATTACTAATTTTATTAAAATAATTAAACAAATTATACTTTGTTTTAAATATATAGTGTATATATTTTATATTGATTTTATTAAATTTCATAAATTATTGTAATGGATATATATAAATTATTTAAAAAATATTAAATTGTATCTATTATAGTTAAGTGTTATATTCTTAATTTATAATATTCTATACATTTTGAAAAGTATATTATATAGTATAATTTATATTATTTTTATTAAACAAATATTATTTTATTATTTAAATGAATTATAAATGCAAACAATTAATAATTTACAGATTAACCAAAAATACATTTACCAAATATTGAACATAAAATTTTATTATATTATATAAGTTTTATTTAATGAAAAGAATAATATTATTGACAGGACTGACATCACTCCCTAAACCACGACTACATCGATAATACAAACATTGTTTTTATGCGTATAAACATTGATAATGTTTAAGAAGATTACATAAAATTGTTTGCGTTTAAAATTGTTTTCATCAAAAAATTAATATAAAAAATTAATAATGTATTTATTTTATCTGTCACGTATACCAATATATTTTTATCAATTTACTGCTTTTATTATAAAACTAGTAAAATATTTAAAATGCTATATAATTATAATACTATATCTTAAATTTTTTGATTTTGATATTATTTTTGAAATGTGCTCAATATAAATTATAATTCACATATGTAGCAAATATTAATGTATTATTGAAAAAAACAATATCTACATTTATTTTAATACATAAAAAATTTAAACAGATAAGTACAATAAAAATTTATAGATATAGAAAAGCTCTAACCATTGTTTTAGGGCAAATATGGCATTATCTTTGAAAAATAAAAATTATATATAAGATTACAATATTTTATTGAATATAACAATGCAGTTAAATCTAGTATAACTTTGAATAGCATTTACAGAATATTGTGTGAGTTTTATTGTTTTTTGTATTTATATTATTACACAGTATTTTCTATTATTTGTTTCCCATAAATTCTAGACTATATTGTGTTTATATAAAATATTGAAATGCATTAAACTTTACAAATACAATGTTTTAATCTGATAGCTAAATAAAAATTGTTATTATCTAAATATTGTTGTTAAATATTATTTAATATACCAATAATTAATCTAAATATAAATAATACTTAGTAAATATATTAGATTAATTTTTTAATTTTAATAATTTATAATTAAGTAACTTTATTTTTTAAAAAACTAATATAATTTTTATAAAAATGTTATTTGTGTCACATGTAATAGGAATATCATTTTTTATATAAAAAAAATAATTCTTATTATTATTAGATCTAGTATTTCATATTAGTTTTATGCAATATTTTCTGGAATGTTGTTATTATACAAATTAAATAGTATTTATTGACAAAATATAAGCCTCGGGTCATAAACAATATCATTTGATCACAATTTTGCTCAAATACTACAATACTGTATATAAATATAACATCTTTCACTTTTACATCTTATTTCTCACTTTAATCATAACATATCTATTGTACATAACTAAGCAAAATAACATTACACTCATAACAACTAACACTACGACAACAAACTTATTATTTAATACAAGAATTTCGACATTCCTTGTGTTATAACAATTCGCTCGAAATTACATTCAATTTATTTTAATAAAAAAAATGTCTTAAGAATTTCGGTCGTGTTTTCAAAGAATATTCTTTTAGTTTTTTTAATTTAATTTGTATTTGAATTAAATTCTTTGGCATTCATTCCACTGCTTTATATACAAAATGTTTATTTATTTTTCTCACAATATTTATTAGTTTTAGTAATGTTTCTAAACATTTTTATTTATTTATAAAACAAACTACTAAACTGTTTAAAAATTATTTATATTAAGCATACATTACTCTGAAAAATAAATTTAATATATTAGTCTATTTACTAAAGATATAATTTATTGATAAATAAATAAAAAAAAATAAGTTTATTTAAACAAACATATATTTGTTATTATATTTTATATTGAACTTAAATAAACAAAATATAATAAATACTTTAGGCTTTTTTAAAAATATAATTTACAAATACATAATTTATATATGAATTATTATATGAAAATATATGTAATATATGAAATATGAAGTATACTGTAAATTGTAAATATGCTTAAATTTCATTTCTATATGTAAAATATTATTTAATTAAATATTTTTTAATTATTATATTATAAAATCAATATACTTACAGGAATTTTTAATTAAGTAGTATTGTAGCAATTAATGTTAAAAGTTGATAATATTCACATAATTTCTTCAATTTATTAAATATTAAATTAAACTTTTAATTTTTATATTGTTTATAACTTATGATATAAATACACATATTATGTATCATAATTTTAGTTCAATTTACTTATCTAATTTTAAAAAATAAATATTTTATTACAAGTTTTATTTATTAATTTTATAAACAGTTCATACATTTAATAAAAATGATTTATTAAGATAAGAAATACTAATTTAGAAATATTGTTAAGTGAATACAAAGTTTATGACTTTTTCAGATAATCATTACAAATATAAGCTTATATTAAATCTAAGATTTGATGCCAAATATGAAGCCAAACGCCAAAGACAACTGTTTGTCATATTTATTGAAATGTAAAGTAATAGTAAACTGTTATATATCTTATGGTTGTCATCGTATATGTCTGTCCAATGCTGGCAAAGAACTGTTCACTTGTTTTGAGTGTCTGTTACTGCTATGCAATAGTCGTCTCAAATCAGATGTTGGCGCGTATGGTGTATACGTCTGGATAATAGAGCAAAGCCTTCAATGGATGTGCTTTAAAATGTACGGCCTTTGCGCTCATTTGGAAGCAGAGGAGAAAACCTCTTTCTCTCTCTCATCTAAAGATTTGTTATGTTTAGGTGAATAAGCTATGGGAGGGATGAATGTATGTATAAACGTGGAAAGGGATGCTGTGATGTATCGATTGATCGGCATCTATGGCAACCAGAAAATTAGTGGCACTCATACATACTATGTATTACATAGTGCGCTGCCGTTTATATCTTATACTACTAAATGATACTTCAATGTAAACTATTGAATCGTTTGTAAGCATAACATATGAAAAATAATATTCTGAATATAATATACAGTAGAGTACTTGAAATAAATTGAATAGAAAAAAGATATAAATTTTGAGACTATTTCTAAATTTTAAACTATTGTCACATTCATACCAGACATAACAGTTTATTTTATATAACATTTAAATCAATTTTATTAGTTATCAACTCTACTAAAAATAATAATCAAATAACTAATATGTTTTTTTATTTCACACTTCATTTACTGGTACATACTATTTAATGGTTGTCAAAAATGTTAATATTATAAATTGACAAATACTGTATATAATGTATTTACTTCACATTTTATACGTACTTTTTCATAGATTACATTAAACTAAAGATAGAAATATATTTACCGGTAAATAAAAATACCAATAATCAGATAAAAGTTAGTTTTTAAAACATTTTATTTCAATTTATAAATATAATAATTTTATGTAAATAACATGAATATGATATAAAAATGATAACTTATCTAAAAATTTATAAACAAATACCGGTAATTAATAAATGAATTAGTTATCCCTTTCGAGGAATTCATCCCATTGTTTGATACGTTTTTCCGCTTCTTCTTCTGTTTCTTCAATCTTATATCTAGTCTTTCCGTCCCAATGGCAAGCAGTAAGTCGTCGACCGGCAAAAAACCGGCCATTCATTAGTTGGACGCATTGTTCGGCGCCTTCAAACTCATTAAAGACAATGGCGGCAACACCTTCGGGATGACAATCATAAATATCAACTCTTTTAACAGATCCACACTTTTCTGTGCATTCATCTCTCAAATCACTTCTGTATTCAAGTATTAGTTTGGGTTCTTCGAGAAACTCTTTCGGATCAAACATATTCTTAATAATAACTGTTTTCTCACTTTTTGGTCGCTCAACGGTTATCTTCTCTGGTCTCCAATCAAGAAGTCTGTAATTTATAAAACAATTTCATTCAGATTTCAAATAAAAAACAAAATTATTACAAATTCAACGACTTATCGATTGAAACATACCTTTCGATCTTCTTTTTCTCCTTTTGTTTGTCTTTTTTCTTTCTTTTTTGTTTCAGTGATGGATTGTAATCTCCTTTGAGTGAAAACTTCGCTCTTTCCACATGTAATGTCTTGTCTTTGAAGACATATTCATCAAGAATGCTGAGCGCCAATGGAATCGACTCGATCTTCAGGTACGTACACAAGCCGTCGCCCTTCAGTTGTCCGTTTGAATCCTTATATAACTTAATCTTAAACTGATTCATGTCATCCTTTTCAATATATCCACATTTCTTCATTAATTCGACAAATTCTTCTTCAGTCGTATCCAATGGAAGATTACTGACATAGACTTTGGTGTTGTGTTCATCGTCGACATCAAACCATTCTTGTTTCTCTTCTTCTTCTTTACGTTTGTTCAACAATTTCGATACAAAAGGCTTCTTATTGTCCGTTATTTTATTGATACCATTGTTGGTCACATTAGCCGATAAATCATAATCATTGGAGTTGTTTGATGTTTGTTGTGGTTGATTGTTATCTGAGGTCACAGTCAGGTTGTGTCCACTAAAACCCGGTTCTTCACTAATTTGTGAATTGTCAGTAAAATTGCCGTAAGAAGACTGGTATTTAGCGATGAAGTCGTCGTCAATCTTCGGGAACCAGGCTTTCAACGGCTCGTTCCACTCATATTCGGTGCCATCTTTCGGATCAATGCGTGTCTTCACTTGACTTTTGGCCACATTTTCAGCCTTTTCTTGTGCCAACTGATACTCAAAGTCATCATCCATTGTATTGATGATAGTCTTCAGTTAAGACGAAAATCAAACGCAAAGCAAATTCAAAACAAATGGCAAACAATTGACACATAAATAACGTCTAAAATATAATTTATTTCAATTTAATAAACTAATCAATTAATACATTATCTCATATGGAATATATGTTATCATCTGTGGTAATGTCACTCATTTGATCCCATTTTGTTAATATATTACTTAAGAATTTTAATTATGAGATAATTTGTTACAATAAATGTTAACATAATTAACACTAAAATATCTACAAATATTGGTCTCATTTAGTATTAGCGGTGGCACTGGTCTTGACTTCAATGCGCTTAATAGTCGCCAAATCGCGCATTGGATCAGATTTGAGGTCATTCTTCAGCGATCGTCTCACTTGTCGGGCGGCAATTGAACTGAACCGCAGATATCTGTCGGACGAAATCAATTAGTTTTTGACATTTCATGGCATATGTTGTCATTACTTACGTAATACCCGCTGAACGCCAATAAGTCATGTCTTAAATGCGCTGATAATTGGATCAAATGATCACAAAATAAAAGAAATTAATTAATAAATGAATCAATCGTTTAATGATTTCAATGATAATGTCGTTTACATTCACATACACAGCGCTAATCACAAACAACGTGACAAATATTTGTGTGTTATTTGAGTCCCCGATTGACAGTCATTAACATACAAATGCTTTGGTCTTAAAACGGATTCATATTTTACACGTTTTTCACGAGTAGTCCACGCATTGACTCATTTTTATTCATTCAATAAATAAGTGAATAATAAGATTATGTGGAAAAAACTTGTAGTGAAAAAAGCATTAAATTGTATGCAATGTTGACTACAATAGACATAACAAAAGTGTACTTTCAGTCACATGTTTTGCATTGAATTTTCTAATCGTTTCGAGAAAACTATTGATAACTTTGAAGACAATTGTGAAGACATTTGTATTATTACTTCAAGTGTTTTGTCATTTCATTCCTCCTCTTTGTTGATCACATTGACTGCCAAACCAACGACTGTTTGTAACTGACATCATGTCTTCAAATGAAGAAAAATTTGATGGCATTCTGCTATCGATGGCCAGAGAACATGAGGGCGGCGTTCAAGAGGTTTGTTATGTTTAACATTACAATCAATGCTAACGATTGTCTCATCTAATGATGTCTCGATTGTTGACCACAAATGTCATGTCTTTTACTCATTATTACAGCTTTTGGACACATTCTTCAGCTTTTTGTGTCGAAAAACAGACTATTATTCGGGACCAATGAGAGAAGTGGCAGAGAAATTGGTTTTAGAAAAGTTCAGAAAATATGCAGAAATTGCCGACAAAGTGATCGCTGAAAAAAATAAAGAGAAAGAAGAGGCAGAAAACAAACGACGACAACGTTTGGAACAAAAGAAACGTCAAGAAGAAGAATTGTTGGCCGCAAATGCAAAACCAAAGATTGTTGAACTAACAGATGAAGAGGCAGATAGTCTGCAAAAGAAGTTGAACAACGATAAGAATGATGTCAACGGCTCTGATGGAGTTAAAGGCGATAATGAGAGAGAAAATAAAGACAATGAATCCAAAGGTGACGACGAAGATGAAGATGAAGCCGACAAAAATAAACTGAAGCCTAACGCTGGCAATGGCTGTGATTTGGAGAACTATTCGTGGACTCAGACTCTGTCCGAAATCGATGTCCGTTTGCCGCTTAAAGTGGCCTTTAAAGTGAAAGCACGAGATATTGTGGTCGAGTATAAGAAACGACACCTTAAAGTGGGACTCAAAGGACATACGCCTATCATAGACGGAGAACTTTATAATGAAATTAAAATTGAAGACTGTATTTGGGTATTACAAGAAATGAATACAATTGTCATTACATTACAGAAAGTACACCAAATGGAGTGGTGGTCTAAATTGGTGACAACCGATCCCGATATGAACACTAAAAAAGTGAATCCCGAAGCCTCTAAATTAGGAGATTTGGACGGAGAAACCAGATCTATGGTCGAGAAGATGATGTACGACCAAAGACAGAAAGAATTGGGTTTACCTACGAGTGAGGACCAGAAGAAACAGGATCTCCTCAAGAAGTATACATTTATTTGTAATTTAATTGTTAATTATGTTGTAATTGTTTGAATATCTGTACAATAGGTTTATGGAACAACACCCGGAAATGGATTTTACTAATTGTAAATTCAACTAATCATTTAAAATAAACTTTATTAACAATTTATAATCAAATTATGATTTAATATATCAATTATTATAATTATTTTATTAAATACTTGTCATATTTTGTCTAATATTTTTAATACAGTATTTTATTTGTTTCTTTAATCTTTAAACTATATTCAAGTTATAAAGTATTGCATATTTTTAGATTTATGATTTTGTTATTTATTTCTAATCTATGGATATTATCTATATTTTTTATTACTCTTACCCTAAAATCGTGTTTTCTCTCCCATATGGAAATGTCTAAGTCATGGGAAATAATGCGAGTTTTGTACCATAATATGAAAAATATAGTTTTTTACTTTGAATAATAATTTGCCTGTTTTTATATATGTTCAAGATATGTTTCATATATATTGCCACCCCTTGTATTTGGACGTCTCTAGTTGTTCCAAACCCTTTGAATATGCTATGTATTTACCGATTTATAATATGTAAAAATACTGTAAATGTATACAAATGTCATTTATTGTTAGACACTGTTATAATTAATTAATTACCGGTAATATCTAAATATATCTGTTTTAATAGATTACTGTTAATTATCTGTAATTACAATTCCTTATTTCCCCAATTTTGCTTTTCCCTACAGACTTAATTTAGCAGAGGTGGTAAAAAATGCGAGTTTTTTATCGCATGAAATTGATATTTTTCATTTTTTTTAAAATTCCATATGGGGAAAAACACGATTTTACGGTAATTAATACCACTGGTAGTGAAAATGTTGTCTTAATTGTCGACCACACGTACACAATATAATCTATAAAAAGTAATAGTATATTATTTTATGTAGTTATAATTTTTACGCAAATACTGTAGGTTTAAATACGAAATTAGTGTTAATAATTTAATAATAATTTAATAATAATTTAATAATAATTTAATAATAATTTAATAATAATTTACAATCATTTAGAGATAAATGGAGACAATTTGAACGATTTTTACTTTTAATATAAATGTTTATATACCGATAATTTTTTATACAGTATTAATATTATTATTGTTAAATTTGCCGATATTTATAATACATATTCTTCAATAAGTTGTAGTAATAAATAAAATAAGTATATATTCATAACATTTTTGTACATAAATTTAGAATTAATGATAATTGAAAGTACACGCGATATAATACTATACTGTATTTGTTTTTACTATATTATTGTTATTTAAATTTTAAAAATAAATATTAGATTCAGTAAAAAATTAATAATTTAATCGTTAAAGAAATCTAATATAATGTGTTGTTTATGTTGTTGTTTTGGAAGTAAAGACAAAAATAGATTAACTCATAAAACAACTCACAAAAGATCGACAAAAGTTATTAAGAAAAACAAGAATAGAGTTCTTACCGTTAAATCAAGTGATGAACAGTTCAATAGACCGAAAACACCGACCAAAATGAGTAAAGAGTTGGTCTCTTTTTATCACACAATGAATTCAAGCAATGACAAGAAAACGACAGATATTAAGACAGATGATACCAAATCTACTAATAATTTATGGATAATGTCACCGACAGAAATACCAGAAGATGACTTGTATAAGACATATAGGCTTCCATATGGTAACTGTTCTGCACCACGGGATCTGCTCAAACATTTGGGTTATGAACTGTTCGAACAGCTCGGACAGGGAGGTTTCGGCACTGTTTATAAAGCTATTTATACCCATAAAAATGGTAATAAACAAGAGATGGCCTGTAAAGAGATAATCATTAAAGAGGAGAAGAGAAAGAAAATGTTAATAAGTCTTAGAAGTGAAATCTATTCAATGAAAATAGCAAAACAACATAACCATCCATTTCTTATCAAATTAGATAAATGTTTTATCATTGAATACAATAAGACTACTTTAGCTTATATATTGATGGAGTTCGCCGATTCAAAAACACTATATAATGATTTAACTAAATTGACTGATGAGGATATACAAAGATATTTTGCACAAATAGCTCAGGGATTGGCTTTTCTCCACAGAAAAGGCATTGCACACAAAGATCTCAAACCTGAAAACATATTGTTAATGTATAACCAAAAAAATTGCGAAAAAGAAGTCCGTATTAGTGATTATGGATTGGCATTAAAGGCATACAAGACTAAGAAGGGTAAGATAGAAGGCGCACACTTTGCCGGCACCCGGGCTTATATGGCGCCCGAAATTATAAGACTTGAAGTCTACCGCGAGTTTCGCAAAGAAGAGGCACTTAAAGACAATAATCCTTTTAAATGTGATGTTTGGGCACTCGGTGTCTGTCTCTATGAAATGTTTACCAGAAAAACACCTTTTGATACCTCAAACTTGGAGGCAATGCTCTATAATATGGAACATAAAAAGTATAATTTACCCAAAAATATCGATACAGAAGCCAACGATCTTTTGGTCAAACTATTAGAACCAAATTCTAATGAAAGAATTGATATGTTCGGTGTATTATCTCATCCATGGATTAATGAAATAATTGATTGGACTCTTGTTGAACAACGACAATAACAAAAGCGTAAATAAATTTACATATATTTTCTTATATTGATTTATAACAAAAAAATACTTAACAATTTAATAATTAAAAACAATAAATAGCAACATTACGGTAATCTGATTAGTTATATAGTATTTTGATATTTCTGATCTTTACTAACATTAATATTTATATGAAATTCGGTAATTATTACAATCAACCCATTGCTCATATTTGTGAATATTTTTAGTTATTTTTGAGAATCCCGTGATATAATACAATTTACGATAGATTGCTTGTATAGCTGGATCAGTTTGTATAGTAAAAATATTGCTATTGAAATTGCTATTGTTTTAATTTTAATGAATACAATTTAATATCTTAATTATTAATACATTAATAACACAAGAATTGTGAAAAAATAATACAACAAATCTAATAACAAATATTTATTAAATAGGTTTAATCATTCATAAAATTTGTGGTATAAGTTTAGCCGATTTTGGCCTTAAATTAAGGATAATTTATTGTAATATTTGTTTTAGATATCAATTGTCTGTCATTCATCAGCGCATTACTATCCAATAGTGATAACACTGTTGGTCTTTAGTTACTTATGACGAGAGAGAGAGAGAAAGACCAGAAATGTGATAATTTTATACATAATACTGTATGATATATAATTAGACAAAATTTTATAATATTCAATATATAATTATTAAATAGTTAATATAGTTTTTATAGACACTTAATTAAAACACATAATTACTAATAATATTAAACTATTCTTCGATATCGATACAGATGTTATTTAATTAACTTCAATGCTTTAGTTTATAATAAATAATTTGTAGATGTATTTGACATTATATTAAAAAAATAAAGTTTAACCTTAAATGAAAAAACTAAACTAAATTTATCAATTAAAAAAAATATATATTAAAATACAAAACTTATTGTAATGTTATTAAAACTGTCGACAAAAAACAAAAAATAACATCATTTAGTGATTTAATGATCAAAGCAGTGATCACTATAATGATATTATTATAAATATATCAAAGTTTAAATCGAATAATACAACTTTATGTTATAAATTAATTATTATTGTAAACAGTTAAAAAAATATTAAAATTAATTTTAAATTAATCCTATAAAATATACTATATACTAATTATTAATGAATAATAATAAATAAATAAATATTGAATAAACAAATTAACATTAGGATCTCATTTTCTACTACAAACTAATTAGAAATTTTCTATTTTTGCCAATTTTATTTGTAAGCTATAATTTATTTATTTCTAGAAATAAACTTAATCATAAAATTTTATTAAGTTTGTCCCTTACTTATAACAGTATAATTTATTATTGGTCATCGATTTTGTGACACCAAATATTTTTATATTTAAATTTTAAGTATCATATAAAAATTATTAGTGTATAAAAAATATTTAAGTATTAATACATAAAATATTATGTGGTTAAAATTTGTATGAAATTTTATTTTGTTTAAATTTTAAGCATACAATTTAGTTTTTACTAAAATTATTAATACAATATTTGTTTGAATTATATAATAGTATTATTATCATATACGGTTAATTATAAAATTATAGAAACTACTAATTAGAATAATATTATATTATAGTAATATTAATCTATCAAATAAAATATACTGTATTTTTTATTTGTGAAAAATACAGAATAAAAACACTTTAAAATAATAGTAAATTATCGTCAATAATATGATAACAACTTTGATAGCCAACAAATTCCCATCAATTTTGCTGTTTCTAAATAACAGTGTATAACTAAATAATATAAATATAATTAATAACCTTAAATTTTTATATATTGTAATGTACAGTATTTAACAATTAAATTTTATATAATTTATAATATTATACTATTATATATATTGATTAATGATATTTCAAAAGTTATAATATTTAAAGCATTATATAACTAAATGGAAAACTTAGAACCAAACCGAAACCGAAACCTTTTGAAGGGTGAATAGCAATGGCCTTAACCTTTGATAAGATTTGTTCACTTTTGTGATTATTGTCTATTAGTATGTGCTCTATGTTTGGCCTCTAAAAGGAAAAGAGGGACAAAAGGGAAGAGAGAAGAGAGGGAAGAGTGGGAAGAGAGGGAAGAGTGGGAAGAGAGGGAAGAGAGGGAAGAGTGGGAAGAGAGTACCAAAAGGTAAATCTCTTCCTATAAAATGCAAATACATTACTTCATTCACATATATTTTTGAGGCACAGATGGCTTACTATTATGTAATTTGTTATGAATTTTTTAGTCCCTTTTTTACCTCCCGATCCAATGCTCTACTACTTTGAAGACCAATATCTTGAAAGTTCATTGATCTGCCGGTTGTTTATAAGTGTGTCTCACTTTTTTCAATGTCACTCAAAGTCATATAATATATCAAAAAATGTTTGTCTATAAGCAATAACTATGAATACTGTTTCTGACTTTGAATTGATGGTCAATATATATGGCAATCGGATGTTAATTCACACCACTCTCTGCTTTCATATAACACTTTTGTTGCATAAATAGTCCGTAATATGATATTCACTGATTGTTTCATACAATGCGAGCACAGCTTTAGTGCCAATGGTTTAAAAGGACAGACATTTGACTATTAATATAACAATTGATTTCCTAATCGATTACATTTCACTCATTATTTTGTTTAAATGTATCGTACAAATCATTATATCGTTGTATTCAAATTATTCTTACTTTTACTACAATCAGTTTGTATCAAATTTATATGTAATAAAATATTTTTACTTTTTCTCCTTTAATTTCAAAAAACTAGTGAAATACAGTTTTATTTAATTTGTTTTGCTGTGCATTTGTATTTATGGACAGATCTGAATAAATTTTTAGTTATAAAAATTATTTATTAAGTTATATATATTAAGATAGTGTTATGATTATTAATGAAAATTTTATCCTCACAAAAAAATTATTAATATTTTTAAAATATACGGTATGTAATACTATATACTTTCTGTAATCTCCATTTGAAATATAAACAATATTATTAATATGTTTTATATTATCTTATTTACATAAATCTTTAGAATAAATAATGTTAATAAATATTAAAAACAAAATTTTAAAAATAAAATAAAACATTAATGTATAAATTGTGTATTTTATAAGCAAATATCATTTCCATTGAAGTATTTTTGAAACTTTAATTCAATTTATAGTTGTAACTATTTATAAAATTAAAAAAAATCAATTAACTATTAGTAAATAAAGAAATTGAATTAATAAATAAAATTTTGAAGTTAAAAGTTTTAATTAAAGATTATACATTAGCATACGTTTAGCTCAATCTTTAAACATTTTGTATAATAATATTTATCTAATCAGATGTTAATATAATAAAATATAGTAATTATTCATGATATTAAAAACTTGCTTGTTAAAATTATATACAATTGTTGTATTTTAAAATGTAAATCTTTCTCCAAATTATAATATTATGCGACTAACTATTGCCCGGTTTTGTAATATATATATATATATGTTGTATATATAATGTTAATAATAAATGAAAAGAATTTTATGGTTTGAAATAATTTTCTTTTTGTTTGTCGATTCCGTAAACTTTTATTTCTGGTTTAGTAGAGAACTCTAAGCACAGGTAGTGAGAAAACACTGTTAGTTAGTTAGGAGTGACTGTGACTGGCACTGACTGTTACCACCACTCACTCTCTGGGTTTCATCTCTCAGGCACTCTCTTCCACTATCTGTGACCTGCATTGGCATTGCATTGCATTAACATTAAACACAACTATAGCTCAACACAATTGACAATTCATTAAAAGCACCGGTCGGTCGACTATAACTAAGCTTTCAACTTATGTCTAGTCTTTAACATAATAAACCTTTTAGTAAATCTGTTATTTGAAAAAAATTCTCATTTCATAACATGTTGTTTAATATTAGAGCTTAATAATTATTAATCCATTAAGTAAATCTCTATAATATCAAGGTAAACTTACTTCCAAAAATGTATTATTACAAAATTTATATATAAACATTAATGTGCACTCTTTATTATTATTATTATTATTATTATAAATTTATATTATTTTTAATAACTACATAAATAGGAGTACTTTTACAATAACGATGTAGTCTTTTTGGAAAAGAGAGGAAATGGGGTAGAAATGTATGAAAACATTATATGTTTGCATATAGTTTTGACGCCATAAACTGTATAACCATTTGTGTCACTATTATAATAACGAGATTTTATTTTTTAATATAAATCAAAATCAAATTTAAAAATGCTTTGACATAATAAATAGCATGAATTTTATTGTGCGTTATATCTTAATAAATGTTAGTGTATTTAAAATTCAATTATCAAGTATTGTAAAAATTGAGAAGAAAAAATTCACAATTCAATTGACTTAATTATTTACTAAATAAAATAAATCACAATTTTTTTTAATAAAAATTAAATTTTGATTTATTACTATAATAAATAAAAATGTTTAAATATTTCATGAAATAATAAAAAATAGCAGAAAGTACTGTATATTTGTGTATATTTAAGAAGCAAATAGTCAAACATTAGAGAAGTCCTTTTGAAAGGCAGATATAGACTGACTTAAAGCCAGTGACCAATTCATTGCATTCATTATAACAATGAATTGATTTTTACATTCAATGACACGTCGGGACCCGTAAACAGTAACTCATAATATGTTTTATTTACAATTGAATAATATATTTACAATATATGACAATATTGTATGAATTTGAAGCAATGAATTGTTGTATTGCATTGTAATTGTGACCTTTATTATAAAGATTCCCCTAGTTTATTTATTTATTTATTTATTTATTTATTTATTTATTTATTTATTTATTTATTTATTTATTATATCACATATTGATATTATATAACAATAATATAATTGATATGAAATGATAGTACAAAATGAATATTATGGCTAATACTAAATGTAATGATAATTAGATTGCCATTCAATACGGAAGTAAACGGTTTTGAAA